CCCTTATCTCATTTGCATCTTCCACTGAAGCCAGTGCAGACAAAACTGTTATAAACACTCACTGTTCCTTGATTTGATACAATTATGCCACCCCTGATACATTCTCATGTGTTCTAAGATTTGCAGAGAACTGAATGGCATGCTCAGCTATTTCACAACATGGGTGAAAATCAACCGTGCAACTGCAGGGATGGTGTCACTTATACATCCGACTGGGGAAGGTGACATGGTTCCCTTCCTGAAGGACACAAGTCAACCACGAAGTCAGAAGTTTCACCGTACCCAATAGCATTGCCATCCTTTTAATTCTAGATTCATTTACCAACTGAATTTAAATTTTCTAGTGGCTGGGTGAGATTTAAATTCACATTCTCTGGATTATTACATCGGACTCCAAGATTATGAGTCCAGTAACATAAATACTGTGTGACCATGTTAGGATAGGCCGGTGCTGCTTCCAAATTTTGCAATTTTGTAATTTTGTTTATTTAAGTCTTTGTATATTTCTAATATATAGAAATATAAATGACTGTAGTTTAACCTAAATGAAGCCAACATTTGGGGAAGTGGTGCTTGAAAAGTACTCTGCTCTTTCTTGCTTTAAGTTTGAGCTTTATCGAAAAGCCTGCACAATCATGCTTGCATTGCAACTAGCTATGTGAACAGCCCACTTTGGTCCTTCAGTCACTTAGGAGCGTTCATGATTAAATCTTGTGTACTTAAAAATGTTCCAGAAATACACAACTCGGTCCCAGCAAGAACAATTAAGACTGTGTCCGTCTTACACAGTGTTATTCATGTTTGAACAACAACCAATTGAAATACAAAGGGGCAAAATTCTTCCTGAATAGAATTTTATTTTCAGGCTATGGTTTTCAATAACTTTATTGATTGAATTAACTTTGCTCCATAGGGTTTGGAAGCAGACAATAACATTTAGCCTCAACAAAATGAAAACTGTCACACAAGAACACATCCCTTTCCCAATTCTTCCAGGCATGACTAATGGCTTTGGACACATTTTGGAAACCTTTTTAATGTTTGCCTGCTGCCTTATGCAATATAAAGCCATCTCTCAACAAATCAACCCTTTCAGTCAGCCATCATAGTTTTAGCTTGCACCTTTCCACTTTGTGCCATCATTGAACTCTGCTGAAGATGGTGCCAGAAGGGAAATAAACAATGTAGTAGAGAGAAAGGTGAGTGAGCTTGTTAAGTGATTCGTCCAATTGTGTAACAAACAGTAATATGTTTATGCTCGGAGCCCTACATGGCTTGTCAGTAAAAATCACACTTGTACCTATCTTGTGATTGCTCAGCCTCACTCAACAATCTGCTGATAAGGAATCTCGACCCTTGCTCTTTTAAACTATCGCCAGGTCATTCTCTTCAAACATGCAGCACCAGATATTTATTCACAAGTGACATTTCAAGATAAAGATAAAGTCATCAAAATCCTACCAAACCATAGAGCTGTTCTCTTGTTAGAGAGAAATGACTCGTGGTGGTTTAACCTTAGGGTCACCACACATCAATCAATCCTATGGAACAAAAACGAACAGCTTAACCTGTCTTCCTCATCCAAAAACCTGTTTTTGAAAACCTGTTTTAGCACACCTCCATGCTCAACATAATTTCTGCAAAAGGGATTCTCTGTCCTGACAAACAGTGGAGTGCATATTCTTTGCATAAGACCTAGTCAACTGGAAAAGCTGTGAAACAACATGTGTTTTGTTTCATGGAAAGAAGTAACCATGTATTTTGCAGGAATGTAATGACTTGGCAAATGCACCATTATAATACCCTCAATGGAAATGAAATCTGGAAAGACAATCTTTTATTTCCCAGTCAAACATTCTCTGGCTGCCCTGGGCCGACTTTTTCTGATTTCGTTTATCTTAAACTGCCTCACTTCCAGACTAGTTTCTAATTTCAATGCAAAGGTCACAAACACAATGATAAAACCCACTTGTGAATTTGGTAATGTGTGCCACAATATTCAGGTTGAGGGGATTGGTGATAATATGCTGCTGCAAAGTGCTCTCAAGGTATTGAGTAAGCAATGACAGGAAAAGTCAATTTTTTCGACAAGCCAAAAGGATTTGCACTAACTGCATTGACATATGAGGTTCAATTACTTTTGATGGCAAAATGGCACACTCATGTATTTTGGAACTGGCTAAAGTTACTGGTCCCTCCTCTGATTGGTGAGTTTGCTTACATTGTAGTGACAAGATCAGAAACTAACCCTTTCAGCTTAAAATCTTTAATTATTGAACTTCTCTGACACTTGCTCTCACCCCAATTAATGAAGAAAGAGCAGGTAAGCAGGCAACACAACTGATGCCAGCTGACAACCAATGCAGTTTATGCTCGATGTTTTGTCACTTCACCTCACAAAATCTTGCTATCTTTCCTTTCTGAACAGGTCTCGCCATGCCACGCTACCATGGGCTGACTCAAGCCCTGCCAATTGCTTATCACTCTCATACTTTGAACACGAGGTGGTTGACAGTGAACACTTGGTCCAATATCTTTTCACCTTGAGAGTGAGAGACAACTGACCTGTGTGGGATACCTCTCTGAACCAGCATGTTGCACTGTTCTGTGGTGGAATATCTTGGTAGCAATCTGAGTCACTTACTGAAGAATTTTTCAAACATGCTAATGTTCTGTTCCGTTCATCTTGAACAGTGAAATCCATTGTCCAAGATAAACCAAAATGTACAAAAATCAGGAAGTCGTAAATATTTGAGGGAACAACATTCCCCACCATGTTTCACCTCTGTCCTAAACAAAAAAAACAATGTAAACTAAGCACATTTGAGTAGGCCATTCAACTTGCTTATCTATCCCTCATATTTACCAAACCAAGCAAATATAAAGGATGCATTGGCAACAACAGAAGTAGATGCAGGTAAATCAATTGATATCTGGCACTTCACAGACATGAAGGGGAAATGACCATGTGTTTTTACACTCAAAAGTAATCTCTTACTTATCCAAGACAGGCTTCAGGCAGCACCAGTCATGAGTGGGTGGTGAAAAGAATGCCTCCAGCTGCCAGAATGAACAAAAATTAACAATTACTGACAGTACTAAAGTGTAACAAGGAAGGGGTCCCCTTCAAGTAAAAGCCATTTCAATGTCATATGACAAAAGCTGAAACACTTCTCCGTCAGACGGCAATTTTCCTTTCAAGCAGTACTGAAAACTCCTCATTTTCAACAGGAAATGGAATTTTTAATTTCGCTCAAATTGCCCAGGTGGCAATGAGACAGACAGGGGAGACAACCAATCTTTGCCAGCTGAACAACACAATTTCTTTCTAGTAGTAGCTGCCATGTGCAGTCTGGGCAGGTGCTTGAGGTGGCACAGAGAGAGCACTTCGCTTCACAGCTAGGACTCAGTTTTGAAACTTGCACGTTTCCTGTCAACGACCTCCTGAATATTCTTCCAATTCCATTTGCTGGTTTTGGCTGGGTACTTCAAGATGAGGGAAGGGAGAAATATCAGAAAGGTTTATCTCCCCAGGTTAACCCCTTCTTCTGTATTAAATGCCCAGTGACTGCCACCAGCGTTGCAACTAAACCCCAAGCATCCCTCATGGCTGAACAAAGACTACAGAAGAGATGTACAAGAAATGGTGAAACAAAATGGAAAATTATTCACTGCCTATGGACTCCACCTGAAAACCAGGCCACTTCTGCCTTTGTGATAGTTCACATCATTCTTCAAAGAAATCAAAGACCCACAGTACTGGCATGCCACCATGGAAATAAACTCTTCCCCAAGTGACTCTTAACAGTTTTGAACTCACACCACTTATCTTGGAAAAACGTGTGCAAGTGGCTTGTGTTGTGCTGGACATAAGCGTACAGTTGGTGCCTGCTGAAATATTCTTTCAGAGATAGTACGAACTGCAGATGCTGGAGAATCTGAGATAAC